CGAGAGAGAAGGAACCAAAGCAAAAAAATAAACTCACCACCAGGGAATTCTGGATGATGGAGCGGAACAAACACGTGGTTGATCGCCCCCTATGAGCCATCATGTCAGCCTCGAAATGCAGTGTCTCACTCACTGCATTGGCGACATGAGGATCCAGCAAAATGGAATCATCGACCCTGATCACTCGGTTCATGTAATCGGTCGCTCGGGGATTCCACTCCGCGGCTTCCACTATCAGCGGAAGGGAAGGGGGAGTCTGTTGCTGTTGTTGTTGTTGTTGTCGTTGCTGTTGCTGTTGCTGCTGTTGCGGAGGAGCAGGGGGTAACCCACGGCCTCTCTCGCTTTGTTGCTGAGCGGAAGGTGCCCGGGATCCTCGGCCGAGGCCATCGTGCCGATGTTTGACCCTTCTCTCCTCCTCTACCTGAGGATCCCGGTCACGCACTTGACCCCGACTGAGAACTCTTGAGGACGGGGTGGAACTGGTCCCTACAGAGGGGGCGCCGCCGGTCGATCCTCGACCCCTCCCGGCAGCAAGAGCTTGCCTCTGCCTCAGCCTCAGGAACCCCAAGTCGATGCGAGGCGTGCTGGACATCGCGACCTCGAGGGCGTCCTCGGCGTCTAAAGATTGTAGAACTTGGAAGTCTGGCCACAAGTCTCTTCCCGAAGTCCCCACCTCGACGTCCGAAGGAACAACGTCCTCTCTGACCCCGAGCTCTTCAACAACTCCCTCTACCTCTGCCTCCGAAGCCCAATCAGGGTCTTCCTCCAAATTTTCCTCGACCTCTTGCCTTGCCGCCTGATCGAAGAGTTCAGACCACTGCGAAGGCTCAAAAGGCTGAGGAAGCTGTGAAAATTTCTTATACCCGGGGGTGTAATTCAGCAGGATGTGGGCAGCCCGGCCGAACCCGTTATCACCAGTAAATCTCTAAACCGTGACTAGGTCGGCAAAGTTCACCAGCGATCGAGGGGGAGGAGCTGTTTCCCGAGCAGGAATATCTGCACAAATAAAAAAGTAGTCATGAACATGAGAAATCTGAAGAACGAAATAATAAACCTGAAGGAACCGACGTACTTGTCGTTCTCCATTCCAAAGGGCATAACAAGTCGTTATACTCGGGACCAACACCTCTCTGCTAAGATCCCTTGAAGATAAGAATATCATCCTTGTACCCCTTGTCCGAGTCGGGAAGATGAGTTACAAGGTACATGGAGGGGTCCCTGACTTTGAGGTAGAAGTGTTGGTGAGGCATGACTCTCAGGAGGGAATAACAAAAAAGGAGATCGTTGAGCCCAATATTTACCCCGAGGCGCCTATTGAGCTCTAAGACCCCCATAATTATTCGGAAAACATTAAAGCAACATTGCCCGGGGAAGATGCGGAAGTGAGAAAGGAACTGAAGAAGTAAGGGGGGTAAAGGAAACCTAATTCCTCCCTCTATTATGGCCTTGGTATAAAAGGGCATAGCATCCTCGGCCCCGAGGGTAGAAGAGTGCACTACCGGGTCATAATCCTCTACGTCTACGCACGGGGGAATGCCGTACTTGACCTTGAAGCTATCAATCTGCTCACCACCCTTTACTTTATACTTCCCCGACCCCGAAGAACCAGCCTGAGGATTCTCGGGAGCAGGGCGACGACGAGGCATCTCTAAGAAAGTGAAAAAATAGAGGGTGTTTGTTCTTAAAAATCCCTGAGGAAGTTTCCCGAGGGTTAATCGCTATGTATCAACCGGAGAGACCTCCAGTCATCGGAAAACAAAAGGATAGGAGGAAAAAAAGAAGGAAGATACTGGAACTCACCCGAATGTCAAACGGAGTTTTTTTCTGGAAAACCTTAAAGCGACTCCTTCCAGAAAGTTCAGAAGCAACGATGGGTCTGCTGGCCTTAAGACTTTAAGGAATAATGGGCAGTCGACGATGGAAGAAGAAAGAGATCTCCGGCGAAGATTCAAGAAAAGGCTCTCTTGAGGAAGTTCGGAATGGCGAAACAAGAAAACGGAAGAGGAGCCCCATTTATATAGAGGCAATTTCATCATTGGGCGCGAAAAACGAAACGGCGCATTTAATGCGCACGACATCCCAAGACGGGGAAAGCGGCTCGAGGCAATGATGAAGCAGTTGTGGTGGTTGGGAAACCCTTCGTCTCTTTACGACGCGTGCCCTCGGTGTCAGAAGATCGAAGGCTGGGGGGCAATTGATGGGACTTTTCTGAAATACTCTATGATGAAGACACGTGTCCTCGGTATTACTAAAACACTGTTGATAAGATCAAGCACCATCGACGCATAAAGGTCCTCGCCCCCGAGGTACTCGTCATATAGGATCATGGCATTCAGTACGTTTTACAACCAACACGTGCTCTCGGTATGATATGGTACCTCGGTCGGTATCCCTCCCTCGGTTCCGAGATGAGCCTTTCCTCGGTACCGAGGTGTACCCTGTCCTGGACGCCTCCTCTAATCCAGGATAAGCTATTGACGTACAGGTCATTAGCCTAGGCTAGTCTAGGCTATTCATCATGACCTCATCTTACACAGTTAGTGTCAGAACGTACTGGAATGCAGGGGTCACAGCCAATAGGGGATGGACGCGTGGCGAATGATATCACATCGAAGACAGAGAAACCGCATGTCGTTGCTGACACGCGGCTTGGGAAAGCAAACTATTAATTACACCATTCCCTTGATGAGACCGCATTCAATGCGGTAAGGCTCAGAAATGAAAAGCAATAAATGCTCCTAATACAGTGCATTTATTGCCTCCTCCCCGAGAGGAGTACATTATATCGTCGGCATCCCGATGACACAGCATTGATTGCTTGGGAGCTCGAGCAGTTAAGAAGAGAAGACATTCCTCATCAGAATCAGTGCGCACACTGCCTGTACCTAATGATCACCTACTGACTATACTGACAGCAATCATGAGCTTTTGAGGTATAAATACTCCTTGCAAAAGGCAAGACGGGTATGCAACAAAAAACTCTTTACTACAATACACACTCAGTGTTTTCTCCTTCCTCTCTCTTTCTCAAAGACTGACTAGATCGTCGGAGGGGATACGCCGGAAAACACTCCGGCGCCCTTCTAACTTGTTCTTCTTTGTTCCAGGAACCTCTTTCAGCCTTACTGGATCGTTCTTCCGCTCCCCCAGGGTCTCCCGTTGTCATTCCAGGTTACCACCGGACCTCGCAGGCTATTCCAAGCAGCGTGGTTGGTCACTCAACTGGCTCACTCGAATTCACCAAGGGAGAAATCTATTCTCGTTTTTATATTGTGGAGGATCTTGCACGCACATATAAAGTAATCGAGTTTCCATATGAAATACGCAATGCTTATTTTATGTCTGTCGCCTTTTCAGCCTCATGCTTGATTCAGTTCAGTGCACTTTTCTTCCATCTTAACAAGCAGTATTAAACTAATCGAGGCTTTCTGTTGCAGAAATTTTTGGATAGTTCGAAGCTAAAGAGGCACTATCTTATTCATACAGGAGAGAGAGATTATGTCTGCCCTCATGAAGGATGTGGTAAGGTGATCACTTTTCTGCTCTGAAGAAGTCTATCACCATTATTTTCATTCCTGGCTAGATTTCTTTTTTCATTCATTAATGTCTAATGTTGATTTTGGTTGTCATGCTTGTGTGAGCCTTTTTTCCTTAGATCTCTTTATTTACTGTAATTACAGTGTATAGGTTCTTCTATTTCATATAAAGGTGGTGTTCTTCCTTGTTTATGTGGGTGAGATTCTTCACATCTATCAGATAAATTTGGTCCTATATGTACTTAGAACACTGAGGGGAAAATTTGAACAACATATACTGCAAATGGACTGAGGTAAGTGCTTCATAGCATACAATGCTAAGCCTTTCACTTCCTTCAAAAGTTCTTTTCTATGTTTTGTTACTATTTTTCCAAGAATATGTATCCCAAGGGAAACTCCAGTTTATAGCACCTTGCTGGTCTCCTAACTGTGAATGGCAACGTGATTTTAGCAGGATATTTAATTCGGCTTTTTATTTTTGCAACAATAATATAATCTTGCAAACAGTGATTTATATATGTAGACACCCATTAGTGTCAAACTTCCGTTGGAAATTTCATGTCTTCTCTGTCATGGTGTACCTCATTTGTCAGGCAACTCATGATGCCTGAAGATTCTGTTTTTTGCTTCGAATTTCCTGTAGTTTTCAACATCCAACATGGAAAATGCAGGCATTCTCTCTGGATTTCAACCTAAGGTCACATATGAACACACATTCACAAGAGAACTATCATATCTGCCCGTTTCCAGAATGTGGAAAGCGTTATGCTCATGAGTACAAGCTAAAGAATCACGTCATGACTCACCGTGAAAAGGTTTGGTACTGCCTTTCGCTGCCCTTGTTCCTGCCATATTTGTAGTGCTGCTTTATTGTTGAGCTACTACAGTTTTTCTTAACATCAATGTTTTGTTACACCAAATAAGATCATCCACCTCTTTGTCCTTCAACATTTCTTGTGTACCAAATCATTCTTCTTGTTATTGATGACATTTGTTTTGCAAAGTAGTATTTGGATGTCCCTTTGAGTTTTACATAGCATTTGTAGTACAAATTATCGATATCATTTGAAATGGAACAAAGAGCTGTTCTTATCACCAATATTCCAATGGCTGTATAATTGGTTGCTTGTTGAAACGAAAAGATGATCTTTTACGTACTGTACACACTCAACTTTGCCTTGACTTAATGTTCCACCTGACATGTATTGAACCACTATCAGTTAGGCATCCAAGCACTTCTTATCTCTGAAGAAACACATTGAGGACCAAACTAGAGTTTGACGTCATACTGCAGTTTTATAAGGGAATATTGATTTATATCTATATAAAATGACATTGTTTTCGTGACCATTACGGGATTGAATTTACATTTTCTATGTCTTCAATGATTTGCACAGAACATGGTAGAGGTGACGAAGTATGCCCAGCCTACAGAGAAGCCATCCAGAACTCCAAAATCTGCTGCAGTGGCTAATGGCTCTGCATTATGCCTGCCCGCATGATGGGTGTGAAAAGGCCTACATCCATGAATACAAACTGAACCTTCATTTGAGGAGAGAGCACCCCGACCATTTCCCAGATGAAAATGCCAAGAATGCCCAATCTAATGTTGCTAATGAGATGGATGAAACCATTGATGAAGATGCATATGTGGGGAAACGGGGAAATGGAAAAATTCAGAAACAAAGCAGGCCGAAGCCAAACTTGAAGCTACCTCCTTCAAAAGTTGCAAAGCGCAAAGGCTCGAGTGCTTCTCCAGCCAGTGTGAATATAGTAGTGAAAAAACCGTGGCCTGTTAAAGAAGAAATTTACGAGGAAGAAGATAGTGAAGAAACAGAAGAGGACCGCGACAATGCTGAGAATGGATGGAGATACAGAGGGAATAATGAAGAAGATGATGAAGAGACAGAGGATGAAGATTAGGCTTTCATCAATGGACACTTTCACTCCCACCGCTTCTTTTCAAAATGATAGGTGTAGTCTTCTTTACTTCATTCAATTTGATGCATATAGTGATAATTCCTGTAAAAATTATTTATATATATAAAAAAAAATTCTAGTAAAACTCTATATTTGTGTGTGTCTGAACACTAACATTGAATGTTGAATTTAAACAAAGGATGTGGAATAATAGTTTTGCCAAACAAAAAGATGCATGAACATGCTTGCATTGTGGTGTGGTGTGGTGATCTCCTACCAATGCGAGTGATAAATCATGTGGAATTATAAGGTTCTATTCCTAAAACTTCCCGAGACGTAGATAAACACTTCTGGAAAATACACTCAACAAAAACTTGTTCCACCATTTTTGGGCTTTGCAGCCTTGTTTTCTTTCGCGTTTTGTGTAGGCGTATGGTTTTCAGACGAATTGACTTGTTTGAGTTGTTTTGAATAGTTTAGGATCAATTTGGAAACAAGCTTCAAAGCTCATTCATGTGTTAAACGAACTGAGCTTCGTTCATGTGTTAAACGAGTCGAGTCGAACTTGATCTTGGAATCGAGGCTTAATTCGGTTTATACTTGAAAATAAATTCGACATGAATTCGTTTAATCAGAGAGTTTGATGCTCAAACGTTCGGTTCATTTGCAGCATCTATTCTCGCGTGCAAGGAGTTACCGCTTTGTAGAAACAGTGGCTCTTATGCTGTTAATTTTTAAAAGCATGTGGTGTTAATCAAAACGGCATCCTTTTGCAATAAAATAATGTTGTTTTATTTTAAAAAAATCCCATCAATATTGATCAAGAGCCTCCTTATCATCCACCCCGTTGAAGCCTGTTTCGTAAGATGGTATATTTTCATTCCTTGATTTTTCAAGCAAATATTGAAGAAATTATTAAACTGGGGCCCCAGAACTATTGTTGTTATTTGATGAATTGCCCCAGATTACTGGCTAATTGTATTCTTCTTCTCTTAATTGCTTCCCTCAAACTATTCATCAGTTTCTGGCAGAGAGACAGAGAGAGAGAGAGGGGGGGGGGGGGGGGGGCAAACAAGAAAACACCAGAAGGGCCAAACAAGAAAAAAGAAGGGAAGCCTTTCATCTTCCGGCCGGTTCATCCACCATCTCTGTTTGGCCAAGCCTTTCAGATCTTACATCATTTGGTCTTGCATGATGCAATGCACCAGGTGGTGGTGGTGGTGGAGGGGCGGCGACTGCAGCGGCAGAAAGGTGGCGAAAGAGGTAGAGCCTAATAACTTGGAGGCGGTGGAGTGGCAGCTCCTCCTTGCGATGAAAATTCCGATGACACCCACAGGAGGCGCAAAGCAAAGCTTCTGGTGTTCCATCGTTCCCATTCTTCAAGAACTCACCGCAACCATCGAAAGCATGACGACCTAGGTGCGCTGCATGGTTGTGCCTACACTCTTTGAACATTAACGTCTCAGCGGCACCGCCGTTTGTGGCCATGAGAGAGAGAGAGAGAGAAGGGGGATTATAGGGACGATGAAGCTAATTTGCATGGCTCTTCCAGATGTGGAAACCCGTTGATACAACTTACAAGTGGCTTTACTAAGCAACAAATAAGTAACAGGAATTGCCACTTGTACTTTTTTTTTTTTTTTTAAATAAAGAAAGACAAGAATATATGTAAATTTTAAAAATACTTTATTACCATCACACTTTTTGTTTTTTTTTTTGTCATGATATTACCATCGTACTTCAATTGCTCTCAAAACTTATAATCACTGTGGTTGACATTGATTTTGGTAATCTCGGGGTCTAGGTTTAATTTTTTTTTTCACACTTTTAGGGTTTGATTGGATGTATTTTGGGGAGGAATTTTGATTAATTTTTCTAAACATTTTCAAACCTAAACCCCCTCTTCATAAATATGAGATTTAACATTGAATTCAGCTCATATCTATGTTTGGTATGTAATATTATATATATGATTCACAAATATATCATAATTATTAACAATTATTTTTCTTATAAATAAATATTTTACCCTTAATCAATCCAATTCATACCTATATTAAAGGATACAATTGTCTTTTTCATCCTTACTCTCTTAACCTATCTTCCCAAACTCACCCTCTCTTTAGGTTACGTCTAACTCATGATCATGGGTTTAATTTTCGAGCCAGTTACCGGCTGAGTTTCAAAGCCAGGAATTGAATTTTTAATTCAAACATAAGATTTGGGGATCCTTTAATTATTTTTTTCAAACTCTTGCTAAGCCTCCATATACCCTTTACCAAACAACTCTTTAAGGGTTAATTACCTTTGTCTTTTTAGGGATATGTTTTAACTTAGCTCAAATCATGGTGGCTAATTTCTGAACTTAAAGAAATAATCAGAGTAAGTCTAGACTCCCATTTATAAAAAAAAATATTAAATTATTATATTATTATATTATTAAGCCAATAAATTAAATCAATTTTTATACGTCAGAGTGGTATTACTTTTACTTCAATTGCCATTTGGACTTGAAGACAAAAGTAAGAGTAGACTTCCTCCATTAGCCAGCTGTTTTGAAATGGAAGCCAACTTTTCTGTCTATGATAAGGTTGTAATTAAGGCTAACCGATAAAGTGATAAGTGATAACTATTCATTGAAAATATATTATATGTTATTAATAATATACATTACTTCTTCATATTGTCATGTAGTACTTTAAACCCACACAAAAATTTATCGGGATTCTTACCGTGTTTAAGTTGTATTGTCTTAAATTTAATTAATTTATACCCAATACATCTATAATTTATAGTTGAATTTATTTCGTGAGAAATTCGTATCATGTATAAATTATGTTTAACTCATCGTGTTTATGTTGGCTCATTTATTTGAGAAGTGTAATTATAGAACATTCCAGGTGAGTAGCATCATAAATTAGACAATTGTTTGGTGACATTTTTAAAAAAAAAATATTTTAAATCACAATAAAGCAATTATTCCATGGAGAACTTGTATAAAAAAAGATTTCCTGTAGAGTAACAGCTCTTCTATACCTACCTATATATGCTATTTCAAGTGTAATATAATTAAACTTTAGAATGGAATAAAATTAGACAAGAAAATAAATTAATTAAACAAATAAAATCGAACGGTACCCAAAGAAAACAATTAAAACAAAATATACTTTAAAACCTTTTAGGAATAATATTTTAATTGTGCTAATTAAACTTGAACTCTTTTTCGATTGTCTTTTGTGATGTGACTATTTTTTGTATAAAGTCAAATTGCATCTATGATCACGCGGTGTTAACATCTAATCAAAATATATCAAATAAGTAAAAATGAGATTTAATTTATGTTTTTTATTAAATTGTGATATCACATTTTTTTAATGATGTAATATCACCCTTGTATGGCATATTTTCTCCTCAAGTGCGCGGTCTTTTGAGAGAGAGAGAGAGAGAGAGAGTATTTGCATGGCTCTTCCATTACAAGTGGCTTTACTGCACAAAAAAGGTGAACTCTAGAATTGCCATTTGGACTTCAAGACAAAACTAAGTGTGAATGGAATAGTCTTCATCGGTTAGCCACTGGTTTTGAAATGGAAGACCAACTTTTATATATATACACTAATACACACCAGGTGTAATCCATACTTGAAAGTACGATATAACATAAATTAACTGATTAATTTAGAGAAGTGAAGAGTCAAGATCCTAGAAAGAGAGTGAAGAGTGAGGAGATGACGGTAAAATTTAATATAAATTAATTTGAGAGGAATGTTGATGGTCGTTAGATGAATTTATTTAAGACTGTCGGATGAATTTATTGCACGTTCTTGAGTGTGTCTGGAATTATCATAATTAATTGTAAAGAGTATCTCTTTTGGCTGATTAATTTGTTCATTTTTGATTGATTAGCAGAGTTTTTTAGAAATAAATTTGTCACCTGCATTTTCTCACCTTTTAAATAAATATAATGTTCTTTAGGCTGTGGATTACTTTTTGGGTATCAAGTGTAAAGGGAGTCAAATTTTGGGGTCGGAAATGAGAAGATGAAAAGTTTAATCACACATATCTGTATATATGTGATTAAATTGAGAAGAATAGAATAAGTCTGAATAAGGAAATGACAAATAAATAAATAAACGTACAAAAAACAAACGCTGCTTAAAAGAATAAAAGAGATACACAGACCAAAAAATTTAGGAAAATGTTACCAAACAATACACTAATTAAACTCCGTACTCTTTTCGACCGTCTTTTTTTATGCAATTACTAGGGATAACTTGTACTTGAAGGTACGTTGCACTATAAATGATTTTGAGAGGGATATTAGTGGCCGTTAGATGAATATATTTGAAACCGTAGGATGAACTTATTAAAACCTGCGCTATTTTAAATTATAGATTATTAAGTTGTTAAAATTAATTACTTGAACTTCTAAAGCATCATATTCATTTTTTTTTCTGGTATTAGGTCAATGTGAATGTGATCATCTGAAAATTCTTGGTTGATAAAAGATTATTATTTTTCTTAGGGTGTAATATAGTAATAAGCACACAAGTATATACTTTGTGTTACTTTGGTTCTCTTTTTCTTTATTATGTTGCTTTACTCTATCAAGCTTTTAATTTTTATGCTTTGGCCCAGTCGAAAAACAAAGTTTAATTTGACTAACTAGACAGTTAAGTGTATCTGTGACCATACTTGAGAGGCATTCGTTAAAAACTTAAGGAACTAAAGCAAATATACAAATTATTAAATTGACAGATCAAAGTGACACAAATCGTAAAATTCAAAAACTAAAGTGATTCTTCATGTGTGGTCATGTGAAACGAACATAAATTTTTCTGTTAGACAACTTCTTTTTTATTGGCAAGAAACGGTATGTTTTATTGATACAGAATATTATAAAAAAAGAAGAGGCAACACAAAATTCGGAACACCCTCTCGCTATACAATTGAACCCTCAAGAAACTTCGCATATTTAACTAAGCTCAACCTCACTCTATTACCATTTTTCCGGACTATAATTATATCGTATTAACTCGAACTTCTGAGTCCAAACATCACACTATCCAGATTTGTCACACTGGTTTCCGTATGTTCCTCAGTATCCAAAGCCTTAATAGATTTCATTTAAGGGACTAAAAATGACAAGTGCAAAAATATTACCAAACTTGGTCCCATAATCGATTACATTGGTAAGATGTACATAGCAACAAGTAAGCAAAAATAAATTGGTGTGGAAATAGTTCCAATTTTGGAACTTTTTTTTTTTTTTTTTCTGAGTGTTATCTTGTTATTAAGCATTGATGGTAAATACACAAGAAGCAAAACGGCATCATAAATTTATGGGGCTAAACTTTTTTCTTTTGATTGCTTTTCTCTACAATTTTTATTATATTTTTTTTCTGTCTTTTTTAAAATCGTCTAGACATATATATCACTTTGTCGTATACAGTCAATTAAACTATCATTTTGTTTTCGAGGTTAGGACAAAAGATGAATTTTTTCGGTTGCTAAATTTTGTTGCTCTTCTCAACCTATTTTGTATGATTGTTATTCTGTCAGTAAGTACATAACAAGTAAAGCGATATCATAAATGTATGGTGCTAAACTTGTTCCATTGTTCGAGTGTTTTTCTCTCTTAGCATTATTATATTATTCTTTCTTTAATTGTATGAACCGTTAAGATATATATTCACTTTGTCGTTGTATATACGGCCAATTAAATTCTCACTTTGTTTTCATTCTTCCGACAAAAATAGAGTTTTTCTGTGACTAAAAATTTTGAATGGAATTTTTCTTTGATAATTTGGTGGCAACTTTACCATGTACGTCGCCAAAACTTTTGAGTCTTACAGCGATGACAAATGTGTCATGAAAAGTGCCATTTTTTTTTAGATAAACTTATTATCGTGCAAAAATAAAACTTTCTTCAACAAACTTAAGAATACGATGTTAAAGCTTTTCGTGACCGGCTATTGCGATGAATTGGAGACAAAATCTTTTGTCATGGATAGTTGGTGACAAATAATTTGTTCAGAAAGGGCTAATTGGTTGTGATGACTCAACTTGTTTATGTTATCAACCTTTTTCTCTATGATTGATAATTTGATTCAATCTTATATTATCTAAACGGTCAACATATATATATATATATATATATATTCACCTTGTCGGTCTAAATTTTTTTTTGAGAAATTCTTTTTCTTCTTGTGTGGTTTATTGAGAAGTATGTACCCATTTAATTATTGAGAGCCTATAATATTTAATTAATTAAATAGAAATATCTAAGTATAACTTTGTAATGTATTTTTAACTACTCTTTTTTTTTAAAAAAAAATCATCAAAAGGTAAAAATATTATTTGTTTATATTCAATTTTTAACTTTTTATTGTTGTCTTGTCAGACTTTATCCATCTTCAAATCATAATCACTTGTATAGTAATAAACAAAAAATACTTATAAAATTGAAACAATAAAAAAAAACCATAAAT